CACTCTAAACGCCGGCGCCTCATCCGCCCGAAAAAACACCAACGGCCACCACGCCTGGAAGCAATTCCCGGCGGCATTCATGCAAGCCAGCACACAGGCCCTCAGCGCGGGCGGCTTGGTGCGCATGCTATCATTCGCCCAGGCAAAGAACGTCGTCTGGATGCAGTAGATCGAGCCGGCCCAGTAGTACGCCGCGAACTTTGTGGCGATGCTCGAGGGGACGAGGATCATGGTTGCATTCGCGATGCACACAAGTGCCACGTAGTACCCCGAAAGCCAGCGGCGGCCCCAGATGTCCGTGCCGATTGCCCAGAGGAGTGTGGAAGCCACGCCGACGCCCTGCACGGCGGCGGGGTAGTTGTTCAGCTGGAAGACGGTGTAGTGCCGCTCTGGGTGGCCTTGCATGTACAGGTTTAGCAGGGACTGGTTGGATTGGGATTCGGAGCAGTTTCCTAGGATCCAGAGGGTGCAGAAGGCGTAGAAGGGCCAGGATTTTAGGAGGCTTGATGCGAAGCGCAGGGTTAGGATGGGTTCGTTGGACTCGATGAGCGGGACGCGCTGGCGCGCGAGCTGGCGCTCCTCGTCGCCGAAGTAGAAAGCGCTCGTTGTGTGCGGCGTATCCGGGAAGAAGACGTACCCGTACGCCGCGACAGGGAGCGTGATGATCCCCGAGATGAGGAACAGCCAGCGCCACCCCGGCAGCCCGTGCAGGCCGTTCATGGAGGAGTAGATGCCTGCCTGGAGAAAGCCGCCGAACATGCCGCCTGCGAGGCCGCTGGCTGTGAAGAGGCCTGTGCGCTGGCCGAGCTCGGACTTGGTGTACCATGAGCCCAGGATATACTGGGTTCCGGCGAAGATGCACGACTCGAAGTAGCCCTGGAAGAAGCGGATGGCCATCAGGTCGGTGGGCTTGCGGGCGGCGGCGTTGGCCATGGTGAGCAGGGCCCAGACTGTGATCATTGTCGGGAAGAAGCGTTTGGGCTTGAAGGTGGTTAGGAGGAGGTTGTTGGGGACGATGCCGCTGGACATTGCTTAGTCGATGGAGGGTTGGGGAGGAGGGTGGGCGTACATGAGGTATCCAACTGCGTATAGCGTTGTCACGGTCGTCAGTTGCGCGCCCTTGAAGTTGAGGTCTTCTCTCATGCCGGAGACGTAGGCTTGCGTGATACTTGCGCGGTCGAGGTAGTTACTGCTCAGGAACATATTAGCCCAGTAGGCGTCAAGTGATTCGGAAAATGACTTACGTGAAGTAGGCCAGACAGCAAAAGGTCAAGATGAAGAAGTCCAGCTTAAGCACCAACTTTCTCTCCAGCGGCGACTGGTTTGCCTTGGTGAAGTACTGGCGGAGTTGAGCTAGGGCTTCCATGCTGATCTGGCTTTAGTATGTGTATGATTGAAGAAAGGTGTTGCGATATCCAACAAGATTACGAGGGCGACAGACGAGCAAGTAGATAAAACATCCAGCACTGGGCACTTTCCCTATCTTTGAAGTCGACTAGATATACATAGGCATGGGTTGACCTATCTCTAAGCCTGGCTCTCACTCCGCTCGCCCAGACTCTTTGGAGGGAGGACGCAAGTACGATTAGACAAATCGCTTGCGGCGCTCCTCACACTACTCAAGGTAGACTATCTCGGCATTTATCTCGGCCTTGAAGAGAGCGCGTTATCTAGTCTAGCGTAGATCTAGTGCGAGGTGGGGGATGGGGTAGGAGGAGCGCCGATGATAAGACGAAAGATGCTTATTGCTCCGTTTTCTGTTGATAAGAAATGCAAGGAGTGCTACGGGGTCTGTGCAGGAATGTAGAGTATCTGCATGTCTTGATTCACACTAACAACTGGCATTCTTGCTAGGTAGCTATTCTTCTATCTTCCCAAAAGCGTGTAATATAAGAAGGGAAACATCAAGCAGCCTCCAGCTTCAATTGAGGCACATAGACCTCCCTCGGCACATCATCAAACTTGCCCAGGCTCTTGTGCCCCTCCGGGTCAGGGTACTCTCCTGCAAAGAAGTCCGCATGCTTGGTCGGATCAGCCGGACGGTCAATGTCATACTCGTAGCGCTTCCATCCGTGCTTGCGGGCGTCGAGATAGTCCGCCATACAGAAAACCCTATCGTCCATGGGTTTGTCCCTTCCCAGCCTCGTAAGAAGAGGTGAGCTTTTCAGCGGCGAGAGCTCCTGCTCATCAGCCGGTCGGGCAAAGTAGATGACGCCAATGCGGCGCAAGTGTCGCTGGTCAACGGGCGGTTGGACCACGCGGTGAATAGTCGCTTTGAAGAGGCCTCCTGTAAGCCGTTCTAGGGCTTCACCGAAGTTGATGACGAGGCCCTTGGGCTGGTGACGCACCCAGCGGTAGACGCCGTCGGTGTGGTCTAGGACTTGCAGGGCAGAGATCGGCTGTGAAAAGAGGAAGGTCCAGCTGCCCCAATCCGTATGGCCCGACAGGAAGATGTCGCGGTATTTCTCGCTCTCTTCCTTCGGTCGCGGCTCGCACATCATGTAGCGGATGTACTCGGTCTTGGAGCCACCAGGGGCGTGCGTAGCGAGGATCTCCTCTTCGGGGACCTCGAGGACCATTGCCATCAGCGTGAGCAACTTTTTTAGGATGTTGCTGCGGATGAAGTGCATGACCTCTTGCGTCTCCTGGAGATAGGGCCGAAGGACCTCTGGATGAGGTCGGTTCTTGGGGTCGTGCACCAGAATATTGTAGTGGTCCAGTTGCTTCGGGAATCCTCCCTTGTGCCCGAGCGGTCCGGCGGGCTTGAAACCGACGTAGAGTCCCCGGGCATCTTCCTCCGGAGTAACTTCGTACGGCGCCTTCTCTTCAGGAGGGAGGGTCATCACGGCGTTGGCGAGCTGCATCTGGCGCTGGTAGACCTCGTCCGAGATGCCGTGGTTCGTTAGGGTTAGGAAGCCATGGCCGATCGCTGCTTCGTAGAGGCTGGCTGCGAGTTCGCGGCGACCGGATTCAGTGTCGAACTTGGCGAGGTCGAGGTTGACGAGGGTTACGTAGTCCACTGCCAGAGTTAGCCTGTTGGAGGCATGGGTTAGGGCACTTACAAGCCTCCTTGGAGGGCTCGGCGGGCGTGTACGGAGGAAGAGACATGGTGGACTGTGCCATTCTGCCCAGCTGGTTTCGGTCTCAACTTAGAGCGTTGCTTCTGAGCAGTTATCGTTATCTCAAGTGCGAACTGTGCTTAAGTATGCCTTCATGATTAGTGGGCATGGGTTGCTGCCTAGTTAGGGTGCTCTATTAGCATACCAACCAAGAGGAGCGCCCTCTGCACAGTCCGCCGAGATAGGATCCAATGGTAGGAGGCGCTCCAACTAAACAGACTTGACTGATAAAGGGCCTGTAGGCCAAGAGGACGAGCGAGATCGACTCCAACTGTTATCTATCGTCCGGGGTACTCCGCACTCCTCCAGCTCCATCACTCCTCCCATTTCCCATCACTCCACTGCAATCATTTCATATCCTCGGTTGAGTAACGCCGTCATGGAGCAGGTGAAGCCATTTGCGTGCCCGGCCTGTACTGGCCGCTTCACCAGACAGGTCCGTCCCTCTTACCTGCCCGTGAAGTGACAATCTAACCGAAGTAGGAGAACCTCAATAGACACACTGCTTCCGGTAAGACACACAATTCACTGCTTGCAGATCCAAGCTCACAGTCGAAGTTCATCGACGGTCGAACTTACGACCATTCCCCTGCCCCCAGTGCGATGTGAGCTTCTCTCGCAGGTACGCCCTCCTGACAACCTTTCCAGGTTTAGGGCACTGACCCTACAGTGATCTCCGAAAGCGCCATGTACGAAAGTATCACTTGCAGGAGACCGGCTCGCCGACTGCCAAAGCTGCTGAGGGGCCGCAGTATCTGCCCCCCAAACCCATGCCAGCAGCGCAACCGGCCACGAACATCGCCAACATCTCATGGCTCTTCCAGCTCCCTCAATTTATAGCCGCCTATTTCGACAAGTTTCAGATCATACTTCCGCTAATCCACCGACCGACATTCGATGCGGGCTCGACCAGCGAGCCCCTGCTACAGGCAGTGGCTTGTATCGGAGCCGTCTACCATTCTGCAGGCAGCCACCATGAGGTCAGCCTCGCCCTGATGCAGTCTGGTCTGCAGGCACTCGACGCATTTGTAGACCAGCATCAATGTGCGGGCTTCCGGCAGATCTGGGTAATCCAGGCATACCTGCTCTTTGAGTACTTTGCTCTGCACAGCTGCGACGACACGTTGTTTGGGACCGCTGTCAATATACATCGCAAGCTGGTGGACGCTGCGAGGCAGTACCAGCTCTTGCAGGATAATCTCACCCTCGGTGGACATGGTCATCTTCGATCGGATTCCGTTGAACGAGACTGGCAGTCGGCTATACAAAGCGAGGCTCGGAAGCGGTACGTGGTCATCTCCCTTCTTGTCCTATATCTAACATTTCCAGAGCGATGTACGCTCTCTACTACCTCGACGCTCAAATGTCCGTAATGTGCAACATCCGCCCGCTCCTGACAGCCCTGGAAGTCAAGTACGAGCTTCCCTGCCGCGACGACCTCTGGTCTGCGCCCAACGCCCAAGCCTGGAGCTCCCTACTCGTTCTATCCCAGGATGGCTCCTTCAACAACGAGCACGACGATGACGATGCCAATGTCGACCCTCGTCCTGCACAAGGCGACCTCTACAGCAGCATCATGCACCTCATGGCACCGGGCCCGCCAGGAAAGAGCCTAGGGCTGCTCTGGAACTCTTCCTTCGCGGCACTGATGCTTGTCATGCAGATCCAGATGATGGTAAGAGATCTGGTACTGGGAAGTACGTTCTTGTACCATAATATCCGAGGTGGAGACGGAAACGACGCAGAGAGACACAGGCACACGCTCTCTATCATACCCGAGCATAGCCGTGCACAGGTTATGCAGGCGCTTGATTCCTTAGCAGACCTCATGCCTCCGCGACCGAGTGCCACGGCGGACTGTCCTGTTGACGTTCGTCTGTGGAACCACGTCTGGATAGCCTGGCATTATACTGCTTTGTGCCTAACGCACCAAGACGGGCTGCTAACGAACGGGATCGTCGAGTACAGTCTCCCCACGGCGATTTCCACGGCGTGGGAACTAGGCAAGCCGCGCTCGAAACAGCTTCGCGACGTCTACGAAGACCGCGATGTGATCCGCGTCGCCGGATGCCTAGAGAACATTCTTGCCTTAGTGACGAAGCCTGCACTGGGCGCTTCAATACGAAGTAGTGGCACAGAAGACCCCTTCACTACAATGCTGGCCTTTAAAACTGTTTTGATCGGCTGGCGGGCTGTCCGGCTCATGGGCCTAGGGCTGCAGGAAGATAGTAGTAGCAGTCCGTCGGCGTCCAGTATATACACTCTCTCGGCGAAGGTTCTGATGCGGAAGATCCTCGGTTCTATGGAGGTAGATAATGAGCGGGAAGAGGACCATCGTCGGGATAGGCGTGGGAGTGGAGGCAGCCAGCAGAGTATCTCCAGCTTTACGATCCTGAATGACTCGGAGGCGCTGTACCTGGAGCGCGTGGAGGCTGCGCTGGCGAGGAGGGATGTATGGCCTGCTGCTGTTTGGATTGGTGCTGTCTTTACTGAGACCGCGGGTGGGATGGGCATCTGATTACATGCATGCTTTCTTCATGAAGACTGTTATTCGGTTGACAACGATAATTCTCACACAATACCAAGTATACCGGTACCATTGATGGCGATTAATCACATTCCGGCACCACCTGAGCAGCAAGACTGCCTACAACCCATCATAATCCGGATACGTCCCCCCCGCCTCATCCCGAATCACATTCGGTCCCAGAATACCATCAAAGATCCCATCCTTGTCGTTCCGGATGCGCATGTAGTACTCATGCACAACGGGGTGCTTCTCCGCCCACGCCTTCGTAAACACCTGTCACGGCCACTTCATCAGCTCTGCCCCCCAAGCACGAACCAAGTATCCATGGTAAACTCACATACTGATACCCCCTCGCCAACCCACTAACAACAAACAAATCCGCCAGCGTCAGTGTCCCGCCAACAAGAAACTCCTTGCCCTTAATCTCGCTCTCGATCGCGCGGACAGTAAGCTCACACCCCTCCTCGAGCTTCGCCAGGATCTCAGGAGACGACGGCGCTTTCCCGATAATAGGTTGGATCCACGCCATGATCGGGGGGAGGAGCTCGTAGTTCGTGAAACTCGCCCACCGCAGCACGAGCGTTTCTTCGCGGAGGTTAGAGCCGTGCAATGTACTCTTCGGGTCCTGATGCGACACTAATCTTGCTATCAGCCAACATCCTCTACCAGTGAAGCCATGAAGCTCTATAGAGCTAAGCGGTGACAAGACATACAGAACCAAGCAACGGCATTACTCTCATAGATACAGAATCCATCGGCCGTTTCGAAGGCCGGCACCTTGCCCGTGTGGAACTTGGACAGGTACGTCTCGCCGACGCCGCCTTTCTCGGGATACACTTTTATCGGGAAGGCGTTTTCGATCTTGATGTCTAGCTTGAGGTATTTTGCGGCGAAGACGACCATGCTTGAGCGTGGGGCTTTGGGGTATGTGTAGAGGGTTCCGAGGGACATTGTGGCGGGCGGTTGGTTGGAGAATGCAGGTGTACTTGGGACGATTAGAAAAGTCAGAATGCGTAGTTGGTTACTTTGCTGTACTGATGGGAATGGAAATATGCTGAGAGTACGGATTGATATATGGACTATATAGGTACTAGGCGTCATGCGTCGAAAAGATGTCTGCGCCTAATATGTGCGGGTTCTACTAACGTGGCCCCTCCTTGGAGGAGCCAGAGGACAGATAGCAGGTTTGAGGAATGGCTGATGGCATAAGGTTAAGAGGGCATGGAGGAGCGCAAGCCTGCACCAGGGAGGAGTAGGTAGGGTCAGATGGCCTTGGAGGAGTCGGTAGGGTCAGAGGGGCCTTGGAGGAGCAGGAGGACACGGGAGTATGAGGACGCAGCGTGAGCCTTAGGACGGCGGACTATCTGGACTCGGAGGAGCCAACTATTGAGATGTAATTAATGAGCGCACTAGCCGGCCACTGTCAAGATGAGGAGCTGGAGGAGTGCGGGGTCTAATGATAAGGAGTTAGGGCTGGAGGAGCGCCTCCTCGTCCTCGCCCATTGGCCGCCATATCTACTCCAACTGCCCCAGGCCTTCATTTCCCCTCTTGAAGAGTTCAATCGAAGGATTTTGCTCTTCTCTTCGTCTCGACACCATGGAAACATCGTAAGTCTGAAATCTGCCTTGTACGTCGCCGTCATTGCTAACCCAGCCAGCAGATACATCCTCGTAACGGGCGCAACAGGCCTCATCGGCGCCCATGTCGTCGACAATCTTTTCCGAAAGGGCCACCGAGTCCGAATAGCTGCCCGATCCGCAGAAAAGGCCGATGCATTTCTGGCGAACAGGCAACAGTACAAAGATAGACTAGACGTCTTCTTCATCCAAGACCTCACGGACCCTAACGCCTTCGATCGCGCTGTCCAAGATGTTACCGGGGTGATTCACGTTGCCAGCGTAAGCTACCTACCCTTCATATCCTCTCGATCTACCATAATGCTGTTACTTGAGCAGAACCTCGCTGATAGCCTGCCAGCCCCTCAAATACGACGTCCACGACAACGAACAAGCCCTCATCATCCCCGCAATCCAAGGCGTCAAGTCGATCCTAAACGCAAGCCAGAAATCGCCATCCATAAAGCGCATCGTGCTGACCTCCTCCTTCGGCGCCGTCCTCGACATGGCCCGCCCAGACAACGCACCCTGGACCGCCACACCCTCCGACTGGAACCCCATCACGTACGACGAAGCCGCATCCCCCACCGCATCCGCACAAGACGCCTACCGCGGTTCCAAGACCTTCGCAGAACGCGAAGCATGGGCGTTCATGAGCGACCAAAAACCGCACTTTGATCTCGTGACGCTCTGTCCGTCCATGGTGTTTGGCCCGCTAGCTGACTCTCCGAACTCCCCGTGCGACCTCAACGAATCAAACAAGAATCTCTGGAAGATCGTAGCTGGGTCTGCTGGGGGAGAACTGCCGCCGTGTAAATTCAACTTCTGGATTGATGTGCGCGATCTCGCGGAGGTTCATGTGCGGGCTCTTTTTGAGCAGGATGCCGGGGGGAAGAGGTATATCCCTGTCTCGCCTGAGCCGTTTACGTATGAGATGGTGTCGAGGATTGTGCAGGGTGAGATGCCGGAGTTGCAGGGGAGGGTTCTGGAGGGTGAGCAGGAGATTAAGGGCCATTTGACGGTTGATCGGAGTATGATGGAGAGGGACTTTCCGGGGTTGGTGTATACGCCGTTTCGGAAGACGGTGGTGGACTTTGTGGGACAGGTTAAGGGGTTTGTATAACTTTCGCGACTCGGAGCATTGACTCGATCTCGGCGTTCTCGTTGAATTGCTTGTTCATGGATTCGCAGGTTACATTCGCATATGTAGAGGCCCAACACACGAGACCCCGCTATAACGGGACTGAGCATCTATTCTTCTGCCTCTTGCTACCTGGGCAAAAAAGCGATTTTCAGTATGCTAGAATAATATCATTTACCCGAGCCGAACCGAACCCTGTGCATTACCAGTGGTACCGCTCATTGGTGGAGAAACACCCACTGGCAGACCAGATGGTGTATTTCGACCTCGGTTATCCAGGCAAAGATCTCCGCTGTAAGGATTGTGGAGGTATCATGAGTGTTAAGCCATGTAACATTGCAAGTCAGTCAGCCTGAATCTCCTTTTGAAGGTGAGGGCAGTTGGGCAATTGGTGGGAATTGATCCAGCCCCCTGCAGCTCTCAGCCCTACCGGGCGAACTACCGGAGTGCCCACCTTATGGATGTGGACTGACGTTGATCAAACCAAGAAACCCCACGAGACGCCATAAAAGGCTTAAGCATCCTGCTCAGCTTGTAGTTCTGGTACGGTCCATCACCAAAATGGTTCAAGCCCCATCCTTCCGCTCATTCCTAACTCTGGCCCTAGCCCTAGCCCTAACTCTCCCAACCCTCACCCATGCAGCATGGCAAGTCCCACCAGAATACGCCTTGACCCCGTCTCCCAACGGCCGCTTCCTCCAAGACGCCGCCGGCTCCCCCTTCTTCTGGCAAGCCGACACAGCATGGCTGCTCTTCCACCGGCTCAACCACACCGAAGCCGAGACGTACCTATCCGACCGCGCAAGCAAGGGCTTCAACGTCGTGCTGGCCGTGGGCTTCACGCAGATTGGGATCGATAGTCCGAACCGGAATGGCGATCTGCCGTTTATCGATGAGGATGTTACGAGACCCAATGAGCCGTACTGGGCCTATGTCGACGAGATCGTGGAGTTGGCGTGGGCCAAGGGGATAAGAATCTGTCTTGTGCCGAGCTGGGGGAAGTTCGTGCATGACAACGGTGCCTACCTTGCCTTCTATCTCTGCTGTATGCTAGAATGCTAATAGGAGACAGAAAACAACCCGGGCGTCCTAAACCTCACAACATCCTACCCCTTCGGCACCTTCATAGGCAACCGATACCCATACCTCCCGAAAACCCTGGTGGGCGACACAAACCCCTACTGGCAGAACAAGACCGCCGTGCGAGACAACTACGCCGCTGGAGGCGCACCCCCCGTGTACGCGGTAACCGACTACACGCCCGTCTACGACGCCATGGCACGCGGTATCGTGGACGGGGAGCGCAAAGCCATCAATTCATCGTCCAGGTCCCCGCTGATGACAATCCACCCCACGAACCAGTGGTTCGCGGGCGGACCGCTCGCACTCGCATCGTCTTTCTTCGGAAACTACTCCTGGCTTACCCTAGACGCAAGCCAGTCCGGCCACACGGACTACGCGCCCAACCCGCCGATCCCGTGGTGGAATGCGCGGAGGGGATGGGAGAGCGTTGAGCTCATGTACGCCGCTGGAAACGAGACGGGTCGTGTCCTCCCGGTCATCGACAACGAGCCGCATTACGAGAACCGCTATAATAACGGCAAGGCGGGGAATGTGGCGTGGAACGCGAGTGATGTGCGCGTTGGGAGTTGGCAGGCTGTATGTCCCCTTCACCCACAGAATCTAGCGGAAGATGTGAGCGTGGACTGACTGTTTGGCCAAGGTCTTCTCTGGCGCCGCAGGTTTAACATACGGCGCAAATGCCATCCAGCAGATGGCCATCCCGGGACTGTTTGAGTCGGATGGGACGGGGCCCAGCGATGACTGGGCGGCGGATCTGGTCTTGCCTGGGTCCAGCCAGATGCAGTTTGTCCAGAAGGCGATGTTGGATAGAGGGGACAGCACGTCCACGTACAACAACCGCATTCCAGCGCAGGATATTATTCTCGGGGATGCTGGGACGGACGATAAACGGGTTACTGCGACGATGGATAGCAACGGTGGTTGGATTATGGTGTATACGCCAACGGGCGAACCCTTTGAGATTGATACAGGCCGGTTGAGTTCGTGTGATGTGCAGGCGAGCTGGTATGACCCGCTGGATGGAGAGTATACTGCCTTTGCGTTTGATGGATGTGGTGATGTGGTTCGATTTGAGGCGCCTGCTAGGGCTGGGCATTTGGATTGGGTGCTTGTTCTGGAGGTGGGTGAGGTTGATTAAGGCTTAATATGTATCTCCTGGATATCATAGCATATAGTGTTGGAGAGGCCAGAGGAGCTACTCATGGAGATAAAATAAAAATATCGCAAGATAAATAATAATATTATAAAATAATAAGTGGATCTAGCTAAAAAATAATCTATATATAAAATTTTTAATAAAAAAAGTAATATATAATAACACTAGCCTTTTTAAAATAAGCACGGGGAATAAAGCTAATCTAGGCTAAAGGCTTTTAGTAGCTTTTTTAACTTACTAAACCTTTGCTTTAACATAGCCCCCTAGTATTAACATGCTAAAGTTATATAAAACTTATAAAAATATAAAAATTATAAAAACATGGTAGTTAAGTAACTAAAATTTTAATTTTTTATTTTAAATTTATTATTACTAACTTTAATATTTTAATAAAACTTTAAAACTTTATTTTATTTAGTACCTTTATTAAGCTATTTACTAGGT